TTTTTTTTAACTGAATGAGAAGAAATGTAAGGCCAAATATCCTCACAAACAACGCTTAAGTGAAATCAGTTTGCAACTAAGCAGTTCGAAAATTTTGCAACACGTCTGGAGAAAGACGTTCCTCGTGACGCTGTAATTCACTAGAGTAAAACGTCCGTTTATTATGTTTGTTTTTGCATAATAACTGCTATACATACCGTAGAAGCACCTTCCTTTTTGTCATCGCCGCTGACAACATGCGCCATTCTCTGCGGCTTCGGCCGCATGCTTGGCCACAAGTCACCGAAATCGGGATACATAGCCTTATTTATGAATCAGTAGTAGGTAAACGTTGCAGAAGTGTATGTATATTGTTCATTGTCAATGCTGCTTAAACAACATGCCTAACATTAAGTCAACACTCGCCTGCATTTTCGTCTTTTCCGCTTCGCGTTGCGAATGATGTCTAGGCCTACACAAAACGAAAGTAAAATGTGCGCATGTCTAAATGTAAGGGAGATCACTCGTGTTTTCCCGCAGTATATGTCTGAAATCATTCCGAAGGTGTTGTTGTTTTTGTGTATATTGAAATAAAAGAGTCCTGTTATATGGTAATACTTCAATAAACGAAAAACACAAATCACACCAACAGACATATAAAATGTAGGCCTATCGGAGCATATTTTCGTTTCTGGCTGAGCTGTAATTAGCGAGAAGGCGATATAAAAATGCAATAGCATATCTTATGATGAAAATAGAACAAAATGATAATACTGCGAAGGTAAAAAAAGCCTTCAGGTTAGAATACCAATATGGAACTAGAGAAGGACAGTGGCTAGTTCTAACATGATTCCCGGTCTCATCTGCCCCGGCCGGTTGATCCCATTTTAGTTAGGCAAGCCTGGTGTGAATCACACGGAGGCGATTTTAGAATTAATTGACAGGATCCGTATCCATTAATAGGTTTGTAATATGAACTTTTTATGTTGATCTCCTACATAATTGTAAGTTATACTCCGCCTTATATTTCGTTAAATTATCAAGTTTACGTAACAAGTGCAAGCGAAATCCTAATTGACTGCCATGTTGGAAACTTCCTCAATCTTTCCGATATAGGTCAGACGTCTAAATATGGGTGTCATGACCAAATATGGAAATTGTAGTAAACATGACCGCATCAGTAGTAATACTATATTTGGCCGTGAAGGCCATATAAGGAAACGGATAACATCACGCGTGATCTAACATGGCCGTCGTTTCTTTTTTTAGAGTTTTTAGTAAGGATTTGTTATTTTAACGATGAACGAATATGCAATATTTTGATAACATTATAATCATATGAAGCGTGAATCAGATATATTATTACTGATTAGCACTTTTGATTATCCTCAGTTAGTTGGAACAGGACCGCTTCATAGCTCTGACCACGCAATATATAATTGTAAACAGGGACGTAAATGTCACCAATTTTAGCCAATCACAGGACAATATTTCCGTGTAAAGGGTTAATCCAGCGACAGTTCCAAGAGTAAATACGAAGTTTTAGAAGGATACTTAGTTCTAACTAAGAATAAGATTATATCCAATGACGTTTGAGTGAACTTGAGTCCGTGGTAATGGATTTTATTTGCAGTTTGTTTAGTATTACTAGAAGGTGACGTTATGTCTCGTTTATGAATATCTGAGCTCATTAACTGAAGTATTTTTACCGGAAGTTGCGTGTAGCATGCATGACCTACATTCAAGTAGCAGTTCCCGATTGAGATAAACAGGGTGCATTTTCAATAAGAATACGACGTTGTGATAAGATCATATGTTCTATAAAGAAAAGTAATGATATTTACAAGCCATTCAAGTGCATTTGAGTCCAAAGTTACGCATAATAAAGACAGTAGGTCCGGTATATGATTCAATTTAGTACCAGTGACTACCGCTAGAGGCCGTCTGTGTGAAATCGACATTTATGAATATCTGAGCTCATTAACTAAAGTAATACCAATAGCTGGCGGCTAACGCCTTAGCTAAAAACAACTCAATTAATCGTTAAAATACCTTACTAATTACTTGTCGATAAACTCATTAACAACGGTCTATATATAAACATTTGTAAAAACAGTTCTAGGCCTAGTACATATATAAACATCTCACAACTTACCTGTCGGTGAGAAACGGAAACAGGAAATGAATCGCCTTCCTTATGACAAAGGATGGAAAAGTCTAGCGAATTTCGAGTGACTTTGTAACTTCTAATATACGAAAAGATTCCGGGCGAAAACATGTGAAATTGACAAAATCCGGGTCAAAATTGTGACCCGGCGCATGGAGTTATCAAAGCAGGTGAAGGGCTAAAATTTCTAATGTAACCGGCTGAAATCAGATCACTTGGCAGGTATGTGAAGAGTTGGGGACAATAATTTTAGTTCAAGGAATAATGGTTTGACCAATCCTGGGTTACTTTACAAAGAATATATACCAACTCAGTCGGGACCAAATTAACTGTTCGATGAATGAGGTTTATTCGAGTAAATCAAGTTCGAGGAAGTGGGGTTTTACTGTATTTGATCCTTGTAACCTTGAATAAAGGTCAAGGTCCTTTTTATTAACATTATTTCTTTGGCTCTATTCCTGGAAGCTTCCAGCCAAATATCAAGACTCTGGGCCTTTCTGTTGTTTAGAAGTCATTTAACAAAAATATTGACAGACAATGCAGACAGCGCCATTGCATAAGCTCACTTCCTCTTTGGGCTGGTGAGATTATAAACTGTTCGCAATTGGTCAACTGAGACTTCCTCTGAGGTGACCTAGAAAGTCTGTCATTTGAAAAGCACAGTACATTTTTTATGCAAGAGCATAAACATACTGTTTAAATGTCATGTCAATGGTGTGTAGGATAGGGTAATCCCAACCTCAGAATTTGCAAATTGGGCAAAATATAAGCCAAGCCTTATATTAGGTTTAGGGAAATTTCCCTATCCTACACTCCTGGACATAAAATAGTCTTATATTCCCTACCTTGGAAGATCGTTTCTAAGAGAACAGATTACTAACCTGACCACTGACAGCAGCCTGCATGTATCTGGGGGGAAATATTCCAGCTAACCCAAACAGGGAGGCGGTGAACACTGAGCTACCAGCTGTTAAAAACAAAAGAAATAACTTTGCAGTTATGGACCATTCTGACACTTTTAAACAAATATGAGGCCCAGAGGGCCTGTATTTCTAACCTGGATATTATGTACAATCATGACAAGATTTTCCAATTCAAACCAATACTACAAATAAGCAATTATTATATGATATATATATAATCTACAGTATTAACTATTACTATCTTATACTGATAGCATATAAAGAGTGTCCTGCACCTTTTAATTCACTTAAGATTGAGAAATAGTTGAAATTGCCAAGTTTGAGATGTGTCTAGAAGCCATAGCTCAGTATAAAACAAAAGGAAAGTGTGTAATGAATATGCATTTTATGTAAGTGTGCTCAAATGAGTAAATTTGTAATTTCAACTCAAAATACAAGTTAGAAAGCAAATTATTGAGGAAACAAAACACTTGTAAATTACCTAAAACAACCCCCTGACTAAACCTCCATTTTATATAAACAATCTTTAAAGACTTCCCACCCTTCGTAATACACATGTTTTTCTTGTCGTATTTTCGTGTCGTCATTTCCGTATTGTGTATCAGGCATTCCATTACTGTAGAGTAAATTATAGTAACACTGGGTAAACAATAGTACACGTGCGTGGTGACGATGGTACGTCAACATCCGATATCGAAACTTAACTTGGAAATGTGTAAACACACGTACTTCACACATGAAGCTTATGATACAAAGACATTAATTAACTCACGGGAAAACACTGAAAACACTGACATACGATCAGACGACTTCAAGAAGGTTGTATATGAGGCGCATGGAATGCAGACTGATGTGTTTTGTTTACCGACCTTACCTGTACGTATCACGTGCTAACAGTAGTTCACAAGCTCTTGGTCGCTACGACTTTTGTTGTCGAGCGAGTTACGTTTTGTCAGATAAATCGGTTCACAAATGCAATTACAATAACTCTGTGAAAATAGTGGTTTGCAAAATATCAAGATCCCTATAAAATGCAAGTGCATGTGCGTGCACGTAATAACAGCGTACCATGCGATAGCCTATGGTTACATATGTACATGACATGTTAATATACCATGCTTAAGCGGGCTATGGAATGATGTCCAAAGTGAACATGATTGAGAGTAATTTTGTTCCATAAAAGAACAGTAAATTGACAATTAAATATAGTAATTTAATTCATTTCCGTCGTTTTTGGTATAGTAAAGAAAATAAGTGTTATTGTATAAATTCTATCCCTCTGCAAAAAGTTCAGATTTTTTTCAAGGTAGACAACTCTCACCAGGAACAAAATTATTGCAAAATGTAATATAAATTAATTATAACGACTTGAACCAAATACACACAAACGACTTTGTGTGTATTTGGTTCAATTTTTAACTCTTTTGTATGAAACTATGTGTCCTGTTTGCTTTAAGCTTGTATTTAGTCACTTTTATCCATACAATTTCAATAAAAAACGCTTTTTGTAACATGTTGTAGATATTTTATGATAAATAAAATATTTGTAGGGTTGATTAGCAATGTTTCTTTTAATTTTTTTAATGTTGTTATAGTTTTGAACAATGCCACACGCTCCAAAAATGTTTAAGTGTTGAATTTGACAAAAAATCAATTTTTCTGTATTTTTTACAAAAATCACCAGTTTATCGGAATGCTTAGATTTTCATAAAATCATCTCTACATAGAGACAAAACCATTATGTGAAACTTCCATTGAATTCTGCTGGCTAATTGCGAAAGGGTGGAGCCTCCTTAAGTGAAGATTGAGTGCCTGTCTTTTTTCATTCTTGTATATATGCCTGTTTAATTTACATTTGTTTCAAAAAAACAGAAATGGTATTATTATTTGGGGTTTTAGCTCATTTCGAAAACAGGAAATTATATTTGTGATTTACCATACCCCTTTTGGTACCCCAAAACCCCACTTTTGGTCAAACTTTTACCTTAGTTTTTCTGCATGTGATACAATAAGACATCTTTTAACAAATGAAAGAGGTGAAAATCTGGATATACCGGGGCCCAAAATGGGCCTTATAGACACTTATCCTTTAACATTTTCTTCATTTTAGAAATATCTGCCAGTTCCTATCTTTTTGTTATTCCATAAAATTAACAGGACCAACTACAGTATGATGGACACAAGCCTAAGCTATAGGTATCTTTCACATACAGTTTCTTTATTTTATTTCTCTTCTAAATACCTGTGGCTATATGCTTTCAGTGATGAGTAGCTTTTCTATCTTATTAAATGTTGCTACCTTTATTCCTTTTATTCTTTCCATCATCTATTATCCATGACATGAGCGGTCCTTCCTTCCCATCTGATCAACATATGATAATAACTGACCTGGGATTTGTTGGATGCCATGTTTTCCTCAAAATATTTATCTGAACCCAACAAAATTAAACAAGTGAGGTTTTACTGTACTATACAATAGCCAAACAACCCAGTAACATGCATCATGTGGTTGGTACATACCACTGAGAATCACAACCGTGACAAGTGTCGTAACAAAAAATGGCAGCTGCCCTGAAATCAAGAAAATACAACATTAACATTTGGATGTTGGATTTTCAGATCAGCATGAAAAGTACATTTAAGAACACTTCTTTGGAAGTAACAGGTCAGATATTAACAAAATATTTTTGAAGTAGCTACCAGATAAATAAATGTCTTGCAATACATACAAACTGTTCTATTTTCTAATAGATAACTGTCTATAAAATGTATGGCACAAATATTATACACAATATAGCTTAGCAGAAACAATTAGACAAGAGGCCCACAGGATTTGACAGTCAACTAAGATGTAAAAAGATATTATTTGTTGTTGTGATACAAAAAAAAATAATACAAAAGCACCTCAGGATATTTCTATCCATGAAGAGGATTTGATTCTAAAATTTTGGCCCAAACCTGTATAACCCTGTGGGTGAGTCAGTTATCAATTTTCATATTTATGCTAGCTCTGCCAGGTGAGCTAAAAATAAAGACAACAGATCCCAGAGTGATGTTGGTTCCCACCATCATACTCCTCCTCGAAAGATTTTATCTAAAGTTTTTGACAAGTTTGACATCCGTCACCTTAAAAGTTAGACAAAGTCAATTGTGTTTTCTCAAATCTCGTAAGGCTACAGCCAAGGAATTTACCACCCAAACAGCCTTTATCTAGGTATTTCAGTTCTTCAATTCTTCAGTTCTCAAAGTAATTTAAATTTTTGACATATAATCTCTGTGACCTTGATAATAGTAAGTCAAGGTCATTTTGTTCGCAAAATTCTTTTAGCTCCATCAAAGGAACCTACCAGCGAAGTTTCATAACACTAAGCCTTTTGGTCATTTAGAAGATATGAATTAAAGTTTTAGACATATTTGACACCTTTGACCTTGAAAGAGAGTCAACCTTTTTTTTGGAAACATTATGTTTGGCTACTTCCAATGAATTTACCAGTTTAATATCATGACTCTAGGCCTTTCAGTTCTTCAGAGCAAGTTGTTTTACATTTAGACATATTTGACCACTGTGACCTTGAAATTATTTCAAGATCGATTTTGTTTGCAAACTTTGTTGGGCTCCATTCAAACTAGAGATCCTTTCTGAGAAATAGTGATAACAAATTATGTTTAAGATCGTATGGACAAACGACGGACCACGGATGAAGGTGAATTGAATCGCACCGTCAGATGATTATTGGCTAAAAGTCTTTTGGCCAGGTGAGCTAAAAATAATCAGGATATTTCTGTTGAATACGTTTATGATAACGAAATTGGGATTACTTAACCCAACATTATGATATTATAACAACCTAAATTGTACAATGGTCGCAGTTACCTGTTTTTGTACATTATAAATGAAATATTTGGCAATAGATCCAAGTTAATTCCTAGTTTTGTTTCACATTCCTATGTGCCTCCTAATTAATCACTTGCAGGGGATCTCACCTTTGAAAAAGTTAGTAACATCACTGCAATGTAGACTTACATGTGTCGGTCTTGATGTTGACAAGGGAGAGTGTAAACACAAACATCACCAAAATAGTAAGGCATGACACAACCATCCGTCCTTTTAAAGGTAACCTAGAAAACAAAAGAGTAAGGCATCAACCATCTGTCCTTTTAACGGTACCCTAGAAAACAAAATAGTAAGGCATGACACAACCACCTGTCCTTTTAACGGTAACCTAGAAAACAAAATAGGAAGTCATAACACAACCATCCGTCCTTTTAAAGGTAACCTAGAAAACAAAATAGTAAGGCATGACACAACCACCTGTCCTTTTAACGGTAACCTAGAAAACAAAATAGAAAGGCATGACACAACCATCTGTCCTTTTAACGGTAACCTAGAAAACAAATAGTAAGGCATCAACCATCTGTCCTTTTAACGGTACCCTAGAAAACAAAATAGTAAGGCATGACACAACCATCTGTCCTTTTAACGGTAACCTAGAAAACAAATATATAGTAAGGCATGACATAACCATCTGCTCTTTTAACGGTAACCTAGAAAATAAATAGTAAGGCATGACAAAACCATCCGTCCTTTTAACGGTAACCTAGAAAACAAAATAGTAAGGCATGACACAATCATCCTTCCTTTTAACGGTAACCTAGAAAACAAATAGTAAGGCATGACACAACCATCTGTCCTTTTAATGGTAACCTAGAAAATAAATAGTAAGGCATGACACAACAATCTGACCTTTTAACAGTAAACTAGAAAACAAATAGTAAGGCATGACACAACCATCTGTTCTTTTAACGATTACCTAGAAAACAAAATAGTAAGATATGACACAACCATCCGTCCTTTTAACGGTCACCTAGAAAACAAACAGTAAGGCATGACACGACTATCTGTTCTTTCAACGGTAACCGAGAAAACAAAATAGTAAGGCATGACACAACCATCCGTCCTTTAAATGGTAACCTAGAAAACAAATAGTAAGGCATGACACGACCATCTGTCCTTTTAACCGTAACCTAGAAAACAAAATAGTAAGACATGACACAACCATCCGTCCTTTTAACGGTAACCTAGAAAACAAAGAGTAAGGCATGACACGACTATCTGTTCTTTCAACGGTAACCTAGAAAACAAAATAGTAAGGCATGACACAACCATCCGTCCTTTTAAAGGTAACCTAGAAAATAAATACTAAGGCATGACACAACCATCCGTCCTTTTAACGGTAACCTAGAAAACAAAATAGTAAGGCATGACACAACCATCTGTCCTTTTAACGGTAACCTAGAAAACAAAATAGTAAGGCATGACAAAACCATCTGTCCTTTTAATGGTAACCTAGAAAACAAATAGTAAGGCATGACACAACCATCTGTCCTTTTAACAGTAACCTAGAAAATAAATAGTAAGGCATGACACAACCATCCGTCCTTTTAATGGTAACCTAGAAAACAAAATAGTAAGGCACGACAGCCTACAGAATGCTTTGTCTAGAAGATTTGCGTCTTTGTATTATCATTTGGTCATGTGATTTTCGTTACTTCCAATACAGATATTGCCATGGTAACACAGGGCTCACCCTGGACCTAAAAAATCAGTAGCCAAAAAAGTAGCCATGTTTGAATTTCAGTAGCCATTTTTTTTTAAACAGTGGCCATACTTTCTCGGCCTCCAACCGTTATGGATAGGCCCTCCATTAAAATCATTAAATATTTAATATTTTTTGAAGTGCAATACTATTCAATATGATGTTAAATTAAGGAGTACCCTGTTATATTTTTTTGTTTTGTTATACATCATGTTTATAATTTAATTCATAATGTGATATCTTTTTAATCCTTTCAACTTATATGGCTGTAATTTCAAGGAAATATGATTTAAATTGAAATGCTGAAAATTTCCACCAGAACTTTTTTTTTTTATTTTATTTTCAAAAGAGACTTTTTCAGACTTAATCTCATTTCTTGATACAGGAATTGTGAAAAAATCTAGGCTGAAAGTTTAAATAAGATATTATTTGCCTTTAATTCCGTGCCTTCAATCAAAAAATAAAACTTAACAAAATCCAAATAACAAGAGGCCCATAGGCCTTAACGGTCACCTGAGTCCTACAGTATTTATTTTTGTTGTTGAAATATGTACCAATTTGAGTAAAAAATAGTTAAGTATAATGTTAACTTAACTTTGTCAGGACCATGAGCTGATCATTCCTAGACCGATTTTAAGTGAGATCGGCCTATTAGAACTTGTTTTTAAGTTTGAAATAGGTATTTACAAAATAGCGGCCATAGCAGCCAAATTGTATTTCTGATTGACCCGAAAAATAACAACACTTTGTCAGGACCATGAGTCGATCATTCCTACAAAGTTTCAGTTCAATCGGCCTAGCAGAACTTGACTTTAAGTTTGAAATAGTTTTTCAAAATGCGGCCACGGCGGCCATATTGGATTTCTGATTGACCTGAAAATAACAACACTTTGTCAGGACTATGAGTCGATCATTCCTACCAACTTTCAGTTCAATCGCCCCAGCAGAACTTGACTTTAAGTTTGAAATAGGTATTTTCAAAATGGCGGCCGTGGCGGCCTTATTGGATTCTGATTGACCCGAAAAATAAAAGAACTTTGTCAGGACCATGAGTCAATCATTCCTACAAAGTTTCAGTTCAATCGGCCTAGCAGAACTTGATTTTAAGTTTGAAATAGTTTTTCAAAATGGCGGCCATGGTGGCCATATTGGATTTCTAATTACCCTGAAAAATGACAACACTTTGTCAGGACCATGAGTCAATCATTCCTACCAACTTTCAGTTCAATCTGCCTAGCAGAACTTGACTTAAAGTTTGAAATAGTTTTTCAAAATGGCGGCCGTGGCGGCCATATTTGATTTTTGATCGACCCGAAAAATAACAACACTTTGTCAGGACCATGAGGCGATCATTCCTACCAACTTTCAGTTCAATCGGCCCAGCAGAACTTGACTTTAAGTTTAAAATGTAAAATGTTAACGGACGACGGACGACGATGGACGAAAACGGATACCAATAGGTCACTTGACACTAGGAGATACCTTTATCTTATTCTACTCATTTTGCTCGTAATCATTACAACTTTTAAATGATATTAGCACATGTTTTAAAAGATAAACACATGTGTTATAAGATTAAATCATGTGTTATAAGATTAACACACGTTTTATAATATTAGGGGTGGTAAGTGATTATTACGGGTGGTTAAAACTTATTAAGAGTAGTTTTGTGATATTAGGAGAAGTTGTGATTACCTGTTGGCACAGAGCCAAAAGTTAGCCAGCAGCAAATGTCGACCGCCCGCGGGTACGTTTACGCTGCGACGGTCGCACGGTCGCGTGGCCCGACTGGTTACCATTTACCTGTGCTAGTCTTGTCCGAATTATTCTGACGTTTTATCGACTTTTTTTTTATATCGGTATACAAAAAAAACGTCGATTAAACGTCAGAATAATTCGGGCTAGTCCCGAGCCCAACGCTAACACTCCCATGTTACATTCAGACGGCGATTTTGGCATTTTCGTGTATATCAGCCAATTGTAGTCAAGGATTTAATCCGACATGATCTAAAAGAAAGTGATCTTCATGACGAAGATTGGTCTTTATCTCGAGGAAAAATATCTTCATACGAAAACATGTGGATTGGAACTTGACTCGACTGATTGGCAGGTGTAAACGCCAGTCAATCACAGTCGAGGAGGCGACAGTCCTGTTCTCTTTCGTATGAAAAAACCATGACAAAAACAAATCTTAATCATGACGATAAAAATACACAAATTCGATCATTTTTCAAAGACATTTTATTTCACAAATATGAACATTCAAATGTCAATTTACACCTTTTTATCGTCCTTTACCACGATCACCAAACCAACTCTGTCACGGAATATTATGAATGGTTATTCATACACGTTTTCCTCGTCTGGGTTGTTTCATTTGCAGCACGGAATCGAAAATATCTAAATTTATCCGTGGGTTTCTTGTAAAAGTTTCCTTTTCCGGGAATAATGGACAGGTACATTGAATATAATTTTACCAAACATCTGGGATTTTCTGGTCGAGCAAAATGTTTTACCTTTTTTTGGTGCTATGTTCCGGTGGTTCAGTCCTCCTTCACTGTTTTTGGAATTCATAAAATATTCTTGTCCGGTTTCGCGATCAGTTTCACTTTTTACTGTTCCGCTTCGAAGTCCTTGTGTTCCTCCATGCCTCTAAACACACTGTATTTGATAATCCTTCAGCCGTATTGAAACTAAACACTCTGGAATTGAATCTATTGCATATGTTCTCCGCCATTGTACAAGATATTTGTAAAGTATTTATCTTTATGTGTATTTCTGTACGCCAATATGCAATGTGCATTTGGTAATAAATTGAATTGTAAATTGAAACTAAACACTCGATTCCCTGAATGTATTCTCCTCGCCAGGCAACACAGGGTCATTGGTTTTAACATGTACACCAATTCCAAATGAGGTGAGTTCTTTCATGCGGGAATTCAGTGATTTTCTTAAGCTATCAAACGCACGTGTTGCTGCGTTGAAACATATTTATTTCCGGGCGATTTAAATCGTCTCGGTCTCTGCAGTCTAGATCCAATTTGAACTGAAGTGTTGAGAGGGTACGCAGTTCCATCCTTCCTTTTAATTTCGATGACAAATCTTCATAGCCAGAAATCCAAGGCTGTTTTTATTGAAACACATCGTTTAGTATTGGATCCTCTCCATGTGTTTTTTGACGATATCGTCGGACGTCAAAGCAGGTCCAAACCGTTCTGAATTTCTCGACACTTGGGTATCAGTTCTATGAAATGCCGATAAAGACTGCGTCGGAATTAAAAGTTTCCAACTGTGTCAAACTCACGTTATCACTTTCTTTTTTTAAAACATCACTTAATTATCCATGAAACTGTCCGCTAAAGGTGTTTCAACTGTTTCTCCTTGCTGTATAAAGGTCAGACACCAGCTGAAAAGTCTGCCTCGTTCAAATAATCCGGCATCGGTCGCAGAACATGAATACACTTAACTTCACCTAGCCCCTTTTCAATCAATGGAATCCAATATCCAATCAAGTTCGCAAAC